CATCCATCCATCCATCCATCCATCCATCCATCCAGCCGTCCATCATCCATCTGTCCATCATCCATCCATCCATCCATCCAGCCGTCATCCTTCCATCCATCCTTCCATCCATCCATTCAGCTGTCATCCATCCATCCATTCAGCCGTCATCCATCCTTCCATCCAGCCGTCCATCATCCATCTGTCCATCCTTCCATCCATTCAGCCGTCTTTCATCCAACCTTCCATCCATCCATCCATTCAGCCGTCTTCCATCCATCCATCCATTCAGCCGTCACCCATCCATCCTTCCATCCGTCCATCATCCGTCCGTCCATCCATCCATCTATCCAGTTGTCCGTCCATCCATTCAGCCGTCATCCATCCATCCATCCATCCATCCATCCATCCATCCATTCAGCCGTCATCCATCCATTCATCCATCCGTCCGTCCATCCATTCGTCCGTCCATCCGTCCATCTGTCCGTCCATCTGTCCGTTCATCCATCTTCTTACTCCTATCTAATAACTAACAACATTTAACCTCCTAAGACCTGAACTCTTTCGTGGCATGCATCTCTTTGCATGATGAATGTAAAAACAAAGAATTATCTTTTTACCTGATTTTGCTCTACAAGGGTCTGATATCCACATATGAGGTAATTTGTTTTAAATTCCGATAGAACAGTGGCAGTATGATGTCCTTGTAAGTGGATATCAGGCCCTTGTAGAGCAAAATTTAGTATTGTGGTCTAGACAATCCAAAATGTGATGTCCACATATGTGGACGCCAGGCCCTAGGAGGTTAGGCACGTTGATTATATTTAGATGAGAAACATTCAGTGTAAGATCCACTCTCATAATCATGCTGTCATCATTACACACCAGAGTTTGTCAGGAAGTGGACGTTAGTGACGATGACTAGAAAATCTAGAATTCTCTTTAAATTAGAATATCTTTTGGAATATGCCACATATCTTATTTTAACCAATTTTATTGTTTTATTTTTCAGTATTTACAGTATAGTCGTATTTTGTTTTTATATATATTTATATATTTTCTTTTCTTTCTGTTTCTCTGCCCTCATTTTCACCACTTCTGTCCTCCATCCATTATCCCTCTTTCATTGCTTCCTTTGAGGAGATGAATTCATTGAAGCTTTGATGTAATCCATATCCCCCACCCCGTCTTAAGAGCACCAAGGGTCCATTTTGTGATGATCAATAAATGACCCTACAAATACCATTTGGCATGTTTTCTGAGTAGTGCGACCATATAGAGTTCCCTCCACCCTCACCACCACCTTACTATAGTATTCCCTATTGAACTGTAGACACTATCATGACAGTGTTCTTAATGTATGTATGGATTGATGGTCCCCATGAGTGGGAGGGGTAGAGTTAAGGTCTGGGAGTATACCACACATGTCATAGTAATGCCACTGCTAATAAATCTCAGTAATTGGCTTTAGTTTTGCAGTTCTTTCTTCCAATTTCACGTTTTCTCCGTTCTGCACAAAGCAAAGGACGCTGTGTTTCATTTATCCGTTTCTGTTAAGTGATTATTTTATGTGAAGGGGTGATGAGATGCACAGATGAAAACACTATCATATATCAGCTTCTTGCACAAACAAATGTGCAGATCAACCATCTATGCATGAACATCAGTGTATACATTAACGTGTCGCACATTAGAGCTCTGTGATGTTCTGGTTGCAGATACATCACACATTCAGTGTCGCCACGTCCTTCCTCACCGGGGGAGCGTGGCGGTTTTCAATCCCTACAAACTTTGCTTTATGTTAACAAAATTAATTTGTAATTAGATTTACAAATGGTATATCGCAAATATACATTTCCCACTCCATCATAGCACATGACCACTGGTCTTCTTTGCTCCCATTGGTTGTTGCATCAAAGTTGAGGGTCGTTAAACCCAATGCCAGCTCTTATATTTACTTGGATGGTTTTCACGAATTTGCTAAATATGGCTCGTGTTCCACAGAGCACATCCCACTTAAGTAAATATTCACTCACCTGTTCGATGACTTGTTAATGCAATTACCTTATGAGCCTCTGTGCAAACCAAGCTTTAGAATGGGAGAAGAAAAGGGATTTAAGTGGCTTTGACCTAGCATAGCTGTTAGGTTGGTCTCAGTGTTTCATGCACTGCTGATCTGCTGGGGGTCTTTCTGCACAGCCATCTTTAGTGTCTTCACGGTTTGAGCTGATAGGAACAGAACAGTAGCTCAATTAACCACTTTTTAGAACCAAGGTATGCAGAAGAGCATTTCTAAAAGTACAACATCTTAAACCAGGGGTGGGCAACTCCAGGCCTCGAGGGCTGGTGTCCCTGCAGGTTTTAGATGTGTCCTTGAACAAACACAGCTGATTTAAATGAATAAATTAGCTCCTCAACATGTCCTGAAGTTCTCCAGAGGCCTGGTAACGAACTAATCATGTGATTCAGGGGTGTTGACCCAAGGTGAGATCTTAAACCTGCAGGACACCAGCCCTCGAGGCCTGGAATTGCCCACCCCTGTCTTAAACCTTTAAGCAGATGGGCTACTGCACCAGAAGACCACACCGGGCGCCACACCTGCCAGCTACGAGCAGGAACTGAGGCTGCTATTCGCACGGCCTCACCAAAACTAGATTCTAGAAGATTTCAGAAACTGTTCTGGGTCTAATGAGACTCCATTTCTTAATATTTTGATGGTAAGGTCAGAATTTGGTGTAAATGACATCAAGCTGTTCAGGGTGGTGGTGTAACAGTGTGGGTCTGTGGCACTCTTTAGGACCCATAATGCTAATTAAGCGTCATTTAAATTCCACACATGTCCATCTCTTTATGATCACAGTGGACCTTACTGTCATGGCTGCTTCCAGAGGATAACACACCATGCCACAAAGCTCAAATCATCTCTAGCTGGGCTCTATCATGAGTTCACTGTACTCTAATGGTCTCCAGTCACCAGATCTCAATCCAATAGAGCACCTTAGGGATGCAGCGTAACGGCTGTTTCCCGCCACAGCTGCGTGATGCTGTCATATCAATATGGACCAAAATCTCTGAGGGTTTTCCAGCACCTTGTTGAATCCATACCATGAAGGAAGCATCCACCTGCTCCTAGCAGGGTGAACTTTTAAAGTTGTCCAGTGAGTGTCAATTTATGGCTATTTAAACAAACCTATTTGTAAATCTACAAAGTTGGACTTTACACACTAAACAATCCCAATCTAAAACCACAGACTTGTAAAATGTGTCTTATATTACAGTGTAGCTGCTGTAGCTGTACATTTAAAATTAACACATTAAATCTCAGGAAAACGTCCCAGCTGTGACCAGAACGTAACATTTATGTGTGTTTCCGTGTGCGTTTCTATTTTTCTGTGATAAACCTCTCGCCTGTCTGGCTCTGGAGCCAGGCGCTGTCTGTTATTTTGGACTGACAGACAGAGAAGCTACCAGAGGAGCAGAGTCAATGTGGCTTCAGACCAACTGTTGTGTGGTTAGTTGGTGGTTAGATTCATGCTATGTGCTTTTTCCTGAACACAGCTTGTGCAAAGATAGAAATGAGGGAAAAGTTGTTGATTTACGGGCTGCTGAACATCTTCAAACATTTTGAGTAATTAATTAGTGTGCACACTCAAGCTGCATAAACGAACACACATTTCTGCACTCGTGTATGTATAACCATGACTTTGGGCGGCAGATCTTCTCACTTTCAAACTCGTCTTGATTTTGTATCATGTTGCAGATAACACGTATATGTCTCTGTTAGTGTACGCTCATCAGCTTACAATTAATGTTTAAGTATCTGCGCATTAAGTCTGTGGCTGACTGGATGCTGTCCTCTGTATGCTTATTATAGACACACCCCTGCTGGTGCGAAGCAGCAGTGATTCTGCCCTCAGCCCCCAACCAGCAGAGTCTGAGCCCTCCTTCAAGGAAGACAACACTTTGATGGTAAGACCCTAAGGCCACTGGAGAAAAAAAGAGAGAACAGCACACAGAAACACGCTTAAAGACCTAAAACTAAAATATAAAAATACTTTCTTATTCTAAATTCTTATTTTTCAAGGATTTTTCTGGTATGTATTAAAACAATACTTACATGTTCATATGGAGTAGATCTTGGCTGGTCTACCTGTGAATCAGCAGAATGGCCCTGAGCCACACCTGTGGTGTACGAGGCTAAACGATCAGTGCTTGGTCGGTGCAATAATGCTCTCCAAAGTTTTCCTCAAGCTTCAGCAGTTCAAGTTAAGTGTGGTTAGTCCAGATGTTCCTCTATTATGGAAATACACATAATGGCTGAGTATACATTTACTGTTGTTAGCTGGATATTTACGGTCTTCTTCTTCCTAATTCCTCAACAGCTCGAAAAGAACTGTGATATATTGTGTTAAACAGGCACCGGCTGACTCCTGTATGACACCGCGTACCACGGCATATTTATTAAAGTCGAACTGATTGGTATCATTAGGTTTTTCCAAAGTTATACTATCTTTTTAAAATGTGTTTGAATAGCTTTTGTAAGTTATTGATTTACTCTAATGTCTCATCATGGGCACTGTGAGCTTCCTTCTAATGCTGTTGTAAAAGGGAGAAACGATGAGATATTTATGCCCTTGTGGCTTTTGTTGTAGCAGCAGTCCAGGGACAAATGCTAAATTTACCCCACTGCTCATAAAGCTCATAAAGAGTATAGCATTCAACGTTTATACGAGCATGCAAACGTCTAATGTTGATGCTGCTGGGTTCATCGGATAAGGAAAATTCATAATTTCTTTTCTAGTTGGAAGCATAAATGAAAGTAGTGGGAATACTTTACAGCTGGCCTGGTCTGCTGTTATTATTATGAATGTCTGGCCTTTTACAGGGAGTGCAGAATTATTAGGCAAATGAGTATTTTGTCCACATCATCCTCTTCATGCATG